TGGCAATTCCATGTCTTCCATTTTAAATCGGGACACGAACTCCCTCAGCATTTCATTATCCCTTTGTTTCACTATGAAAAGGTCCGATTTTCTCGTTGCAACCTTTATGGCACCGGCGTGTGTCTTTACAAATGAATCCGCTAACATGGAAATTGAATCTATGGAATTTGGTGGCAGGTTATGATACCAAATCATTGCCCCCTGGTCTCTCCGAATTTTTTCAACAAAACGGATTCGTTTTCATCGTCTTCCAAATCGTTACCCTTGATGGCACACGTGTAAGAGGTGACGTGTTCGTTGGGATCGGTCGTACTGTTATATTTGGGTATTGCGGGCATACGAAATATTTTGGGGATTGGTTTTGGGGATGCACTCGAGGGAAAAGGCTTTTGTACGAATTTCTTGGAATCCAACCCTTTTATCATAGGCGGAGCCCCTGGGATTTGATCGACCCTGAAATTATATGTTTCTACTTTCTTATCGTTGGCTTCGATTTGCTTTGTGAGCTCCTCAAGTATTTTAGCAATTTCGGGAGTAGTCCCCGATTCTTGCTCGTTCGACCTTTCTATGGCTGGCTCCGTTCGGTGGGTAATTTCTCGAGGTGGACTGCGTTCCGGTCTGCTTAGTAGTTGGGTTTGGCTCTACAACTGAGCTATCGCTATCTGCTGGGCTTGCAATATTTCAAAGATCATACACAAGCTGACTTCGTTCTCCTCCACATTATAGGACTCTCGAGCTGCAGATCGAGTACCGCTATGAATACTATTTTCAGGCTCGGAACGTTGGTTTTCCTCCAAGGCCATATGCGAGTTGACATCTAGCGAGTTGACATCGAGCTTCAGGTACTTCGACTCGAGCTTCAATTACATCGATAAGCGGCCTTCCGGCCCTGGGCATCAAGTTATTGGTTTCGTCTTGAAGGACGGCTTCGTTGTCGGTAGATAAACTCATTAATCGAGGGTTTTCCATTGCTAGTTTGAAGTCAGAGACACCCTTAAAAGACGAGCGTAAACTGGTGTGTATTGCAGATTTGTATCAAACAAACACCGTTATCCTTAGCCCTATAGTGGGGGCCAAACTGTTTACCCGAAAAACGGATAGAGTTAAATTTGTACGTAGTTCTAAGGATATGTGATATAGCTTAATACAAACCGTAAGGGTAAATAAAAACATCAAATATGCATTGCAAATAGTACAAAGTAAGCACGGTTGTAAAGAAGATGATTTTTAGGACTGAACAGGTTGAACCAATTTATGAAGCTTAGAAGAAACAACTCTTCTCTATAGGAGAATATGGTGCTTGAATTACAATGTAAACAAAAACTTGCCCCTTACAAAATTAATAACCATTCTCTTTATAGTAGAGGGATCTTACTTTAGATATAATTAAAAATACATAGTGGGAGACCCATGATAAATCAGTTTTTCCATAATTCCTGTTAGGATTCTCTTCTCTAATGGGATTGCAACGGCTCTTGTCTATGAGCTCGATATTGACTCGAGTTTTCGATCTCGACTCGAGCTCTCGATCTTGACCTGAGCTCGATTCTGACTCGGATCCTTGTATTGATTGGGGGTTAGTGTTGGTCGGTATCTGAATCATAAGCTCGATAACTTTACTATGTATCATAGTTCGATTTGGATTCGAGCTTGATAATGATACCGAGCTCGACATTGATCGGCCCCCTGGGCTCGAAGGTTGTTTGTACCATTTTCGAAACCCATTTCGAAGTCTTACTCCGATCTGTTACGTTTTGACCTTGATCGATCGTACGAATGCCGAAATCTATTTCGACAGTATACAGCTCCAAACATTAAACTCAAACAACACCCTCTCTTAAGTCTGTAAACCCAGCAATCAAAAGCTTAACCTAATCTAACCAATTTTATTAGTATGATCGGAAATATAAACCCAGCAATCAAAGATTAAACTAAATCTAACCATTTTTCTTTTTTAACATACTGAAAAGTCCATTTCCAAATGAAAGATTGAGTAAAAGGAATTTCCAAAAGAAAGGTAGGTGCAAATTTTACACCCACGAAATCCCACGGCCAAATTGTTTTGCAGAATGTTTACTAGAACTATTATTCAGTTCGACATTTGATTTGATATTGCTCTATCCTTGCTAACTTTTTTGATTTGGTTTAAGCATAGTCGATGGAAAGGAGGAGGAAAACAGAGGGGGAGGAGTTTTTATTTTTTGGAGAAAAGACAACATAGTCCCTGTAAATGTTCTTATTTAAAGTGTTGTTATGGGTAATTATGAGAAAGCAAATATATATACAATGCTAANACATAATTTTATAAATTTCTTCCTTATTAAATTCCTTTGGAATAAATATTATTCCATTAAAATTTATGAATTCGTTGCTTGGGGTCTCTCTTAATTGAGTTAATAGTTATTAGATTGAAAATAAAAAATAAAAAATATAGAGTACAAAAATATTGCGTTGGAAAGCTAGATATTTTTGGCAATTATAATTTATGTGTGAGTATGTGAAAGTATTGTGCTTTTTGTGTTAGAAGACTTAGTTATATGATTATAATTATATGGTCATTTGGAAAGAAAAAGGCATACTTGTATGACTTTGAAAAAAAAGAGTCATAATAATATGACTAAGGGAGCTTGGCATATAAGGTAGACCTTGTATATTAAGATTAAAAATAGATATATAAAGAAGGGGACACAAAATCAAATCATTTCGGCAACTATATGTGAGTTGGATATGCCCAACTTAATATAATTTTGATGTAGATGCATGTGGTTCTAGTGTGTGTCGGGCCAATTGTTTATTTGTCTCTTTACAAATTTATTTTTAGTTTATGACCCTACCTTTTTTTTTACACATCAGAGATTTACTTTTTCACATAAGAGATCTGTCTTTTACACATAAGAGATCTGAAAAAGATATTTTCTTAAATTTAAAATTGTAAAGGGGCATGATGTACAAATAACACGTGTATCGTATAGTAAAAAATTTATAATAGGATAGAGATGACTCCTCTCTTTAATATTTGACATGCACATTAGTAGGTTAACAAAAAATATCTTTATTGACCTATAGAATGTTTCATATACCATAAGTCTATTTGTTCGTAGATGAGCCCATTAGTTAATTTGATTGTGAAAGATGCCAATTATATTTGAATTATTACAGCATGAAAGGAAGAACAATTAAGAAGCTTCTTGGTTTCACTATGGGTATATATATATATATATATATATATATATATATATATAG